CTCTGGGGACACCGGCCTCAGCTGCTGGTGGACCCAGCCCCGGCCACGCCGCAGGACACCGCGCCGCAGGACAGCACGGGCAGGAGGCGCACGGTAGCTCGGGGGGATTTTCTTCCTCCAGCAGTTACAAAAGGGGAACAGTGGGAGCATCGCCAGGACGAGGAGGCTGCAGCCACGCCGGGGAGCAGCCCCCGCTCCCCCTCGCAAGCAGAGAGGGAGCCTGGACGTTCAGTGGAGGAGATAATGACTCTGAATTATTAAGCAAACTTCCTGTTAGACTTAGAAAAACCTCTCTACACCTTCCCTGGCTGTGTCTGAACCAGCCCGTTCATGACAGAGCCCTGTCTCTGGGCTTCACCGCGGTAAACACAGGAATGAGCGTCCTTGCCTCGCAGGGGGAGGCGGGGAGCAAACAAGGCTGAACGTTATTAATGACAGAACGTAATTTTCTCCGGAAAGGGCAGGCTCGTTGCCTGCACATTCAACAGAGCATTAACCGTTTGGTTTGTATGTGACTGGCAAAGGCTGGGTGTCAATACAACATGTGACATAACGATGACCATTTCACTTGAACCGGCATTTATTCCTGAACTGCTGCTCTTCAGGATCACCACTGTAATAAGCACTGAACAAAGCCAAACAAAAAAAAAAACAAAGCAAATGAGGAAGAAAAGGAGGAGGAGGAGGAGGAGCTTTGTCTTATTATGACATACGTGACTTGGACATACGCTGAGATGAAAAAGGAAAAGGCCTCATCTATAAATGTATGCCAAGGTTACAGAATAATGGGAAAAAGTGGTCTAGCAGGAAAATCTTAAGCAAAAGTGTGCTAACTGCAGAAGGGTTAACACTGGTAACATACTGTGGCAGAAGATTAAAAAAAAGTTGAGGTTTACTTTAAATTAACCCTTTCCAGTCCATATGCCACTAAGCAGGTACCAACCTAGAAAAATAGTCCACCTAGCAGTAGCGGCCCTTTGAAATTAAAAAGAGGAAAAAAAAAAAATAATTTCTGTTGTTCAAGTCAGGGCAGCCACAAACGTCCCAAATCTGTTGGAGATGTCCGAGTGCAGGGACCTCCACGTCGGCACCGCAGTCCGGCCCTTCGCCTCGCCCACGTCGTCCGTGCAGTGGACCGAGAGGCACTGCAGGTGGCTGCCGGTCTGCGCCGTGGCCGAGGTCTTGCTCGGGGGAAGATCGTGGGCTGGAAAGGGTTCAGAGAGAGCGTTAGGAGAGCCAGGCAATGCCACCCCATCAACTCACACACCGGGAGCGTCTCCGCACCCGCCTCTGCCCCACCGGCCCCCACACCCACGGCGTCCCCGGCTGGGGGACGCGGCATCACCGCCGCTGGCACTGCTCCCCCTTCCCACCCCACAGCAAGCTTCTCCTGCTGATTTTTCACCATGCCAGAAAACCACCAAACCCATTCTCTTTCGCATGCACCTGTTTGAAAGGAAGCCATCCACACGTCTCCGCGCTGGGGACGTATACACGGCTGATGATGTGTGTCCCAGATCGTGGCACACCTGGGCATTTTCATGCCCTGCGCACCCTCCGCTATTTGAAACCAATACTGAAACTTCCCCAAGCAGGAATCCAGCCCCGAACCCTCTGCGTCCTCCCGGTCATCCCCATCGCTGGTCCCTTACAGGCACAGGTCTCCTTGTTCACCCCTTTTAATGGAGCACCACAATAACGTTTTTCTTGTAATCTCTTCATTTTAGGGCTTTGTATGATCTCTAGCCACCATCAGCTTCTGTTAGCCACAGAAATTAACTGCAACATCCTAAATGGTGTCCTGGGCCCTTCCCCCCTGGATTTCACAGTTAATAGGAAGAGTAGCTAGAACTGTTCCTTCCAAAGCGTACTACCATGTACCCGTGACTCATTCCCACTGTCACTCCATTACTTTTCCTTCCTTCATTCTTAATAATTTCAAGTACTCTTCTCTGTTGCAAATGTATTTTTCTCATCCTCAAAACATGCCTCAGTGCACGTGCCCCCTCCCCGCCCGGCGCAGCCAGGGACATCTTTCTTCCATCATCTTCCTCACTGAAATCAATTGCTGCTTTAGTTCTCCACTGCTCGTAGTCAAATCACCAAAAAAAGCCCAAACAGACACCCTCCCCCCCCCAGCTTCAGCCGTCGCCTTGTAACGCCTCACCTCCTCAGCAGCCCCTCCACAGGGTCCTTCTCACAGACCCCCAAAATGGCAAGGCAGGGGCTGGTGCCCAC